GAAGTCGAAAGGATTGTAGTGGAATGGAGTGGAGTGGCATGTATTCAGTGGACTAGAGTGAAGTCGAAAGGATTGTAGTGGAATGGAGTGGGTAAGTGTGGTTCCTAGTTATCTAAAAGGTGGCCGCAGAAAAGGTGGCACTGAATAGAACTTGAGTCCCAAAGCTAACTGGGAGATAGAAACAGGTGTTGCCAAGACCCTGAGGCGCAGCGGGAGGTGGGCACTGCAACCATAACAGAATGAGGACAGAGATGCCATTTCCAGGCAGCTCGTTGGGAATGTGGTAGGCCATTGTGGTTACTTGGATGTCTGCTCTGAGTGAAATGGGAGTCGTGGGTGGGTCTTGTGCAGACAGGGAAGGTCTTGTGCAGATGAGGAAGGCCTGGGATGAGGGCGGCTGCCTGGAGACCAGCTGAGAGTCCTTTGCAGAATCCAGGCAGGAGAGGCTGGTGGGTGAGACCCGTATGACTGCAGTGGAGGGGTCAGCCATCTATTCTGGGTCTACTTGGGAGGCAGAGTTGATAAAACGTATGGAAGGTTGGATATAGAGTGAGATTCTAAGGTTTGGACCTCACGACCTGTATTCCACCAAAATCCCACAAACATGGAATCAATTTCGACTCATCAACTCAAAACGCGCTGCCGTCGAGTCAATACTGAGTCGAAATCCACCCTCTGTGGATTTCTGAGACTGTAACTGTTTATGGGAGTATAAAGCCCAGTCCCGTGGTTCTCAACCTTCCTAATGCCGTGACCCTTTAATACAGTTTCTCATGCCGTGGTGACCCCCAGCCATAAAATTATTTTCATTGCTGCTTCATAACTGTAATGTTGCTACTATTATGAATCATAATGTAAATTTCCGATATGCAGGATGTATTTTCTTTGTTACAAATTGAACATAATTAAAGCATAGTGATGAATCACAAAAACAATATATAATTATACAGTGTCATATAAATTATTTCTAATTTAAAAAATGAAATTTTGTCTTGAAGCATGGTGTAGCATGGACAACAGTCTTCATGCCGGATACTCATATCTGGACATATCGCCATGGAGACTGATAGGGGAGCAGTCTCTCGTTCTTAAGACCATTGGAAATATGTGTTTTCCAATGGTCTTTAGGTGACCCCTGTGAAAGGATCATTCAACCCCCAAAGGGGTCGTGACCCCCAAGTTGAGGACTGCTGGGCCAGTCTTTCTAACAAGGTGCTGCTGATGGTTTTGAACTACCAGCCAAGCAGGTTGCATCACAACTCACAACCATTACACCACCAGGGCTCCTTTAAGACAGAGTAAACCTGCGCACAAGGATTTATAAAGCTGTCAATCTGTACGGGAGCAGGAAGCCTTTAGCTTCTGCCTTTGAGAGCTCGGGGGTGTGGGCTGCCCACCTGAGGTTACCAGTCCAAATCACAGTCCACTTGGCCACCTGGATAACCAGGTGAGAACTGTAATTATGCTAAAATCCCTCCTTAGTTCTTTTTTCTGCCTTGGGGAGGTCTCATCATAAGCCTAGCAGGATCACAAAAATTAATCAACCCTTCATTAGGGTTTCATAGAATTTATTTGCATGATCCCAGAACCTCCAACAGGGTGCCGTGCATCTTATTTAAATTAGTAGACAGTTCTCCAATTCCCTTGTAGGCCCACCAGGCCTTGTTGCATAACCCCGTCCAGTCATCCCACCTCTTGTCAGTGTGTCGTACTCTGGAGGCTTGTGTTTTGCTGTTATGTTGGAAACGATGTCACTGGTATTGCAAATACCATCTGGTTGACCCAAAGTGATGGGGTTTCAGCAGAGCATCCAGACTAAGAACAGACAAAAGAAGGAATAGGCTGTGTACTTCTGAAATTAGTCACGGGAAGCCTGATGCACAGCCGTGATCCATTGTTAGATACCGAGAACCTCACGAACAGAAGCAGAGCACCGTCAGAATCAGTGTTAGAAAATGAGCCCCTTGGAGTGGAAGTCATTCAAAATGTGGCTAAGGAAGAGCTGCTTTCTCAAAGTACAGTGCACCCTGATGATGTGGATGGAGGGAAGCCTTCATTTGCTGATGGGGCACAACTTAAATTAAGCAGACACCATTACAAACACTAATAATTGGAACTTAAAATGTACAAAGGCTTAATCTAAGAAAATCGGAAGTCACCAAAAGTAGACAACATAGAGATCAATATCGTAGGCATTATTGAGCTGAAATGGATTGGCAGTTGGAATTAGACAATTATCTGGTTTAGTTTGTGAGGAATGACAAATTTAAGAAACATTCATTGCATTGATCATCATAAAGGACAACTCAAGATCTACTGAAGCACAACACTGTCTCTGAAAGGACAATACCTCTACCGATCCACACACAAGGAAATCGGTCTATACGACTGTCATTCACCAACTTCCAAACCTAGTGACAAGGAAACTGATGAAATGTACCAACATGTTCATTTTGAAACAAAACCAGCATGCACTCAAGATGCATTGATAACTATTGGTTAGTGAGAGACAACAGTTGGAATCAAAGAGGAAGGGACAGTATTAGTAAATATGGTATTGGTGATAGAATCAAGCTGGAGATTGTATGACAGAATTTCACAAAACGAATCACTTCTTCATTGAAAATATCTGTTTTTCAACAAGCCAAACAAGACTTCTTCAGGTGGAATGCGCAGAAATCAATGGACTGTATCGGGGCGATGAAATGACGGAGAAGCACAATATCAGAAACTAAACAAGACCTGGAGCCAACCATGGAACTGGCCACCAATTGCTCCTTTGAAATAGAAGAAAATTAAATGCATAAGCGTCCATATACAAGCTGGAGTATATCCCACCTAACTTTGAGACCATTTCAAGGACAGATTTGATATATTTAATTCAGAAGGCCTGAAGATGAGATGAAGAACATCGTTCATGAAGAAAACAAGAGGTCATTAAAAAGGAAATTCGCACAATCTGAATTTGTACTGGGTACAAGGATAGCTTAGTTGTTCCATGACAGAAATTTCCTCCCTGGCTTTTTGAATGGTGATGAGGGTCTTATTACGTATTATTTGTATTTTTCTCTTTATACTAATATGATCTTATCCTTACTACTTTACTGCGATCTGATTTTCATTGTTTTCCGTTTCCCAGCTGTGAAGCACAGGAGTGGATGTATAGTGATAATAACTGATACAGGTGCTATCAGGAATGCACAGGTGGGCGATGGGTGATATGGAGGGAAAAGGGATTTCTGGAGGGAATAATGAATGTGGGAAGGAGCACAAGAACCACTTGTGATTGCACAATTCAGTTTAAAGGTGATATAACCATGGGGGTTGGGAGGCTATAAGATAGATGTGGTGGTGACTGTACAACTCCCCTTGATGTGGTTGAATGATTGAACTATTCGATTGAATGATATATAAATTGTGTGCCAATAAAATTCATTGGGAGGGAGAAAAACAACAAAAAGAGAAAAATAAAAGATCAAAGTGGATGTCTGAAAAACTCTGACACATGCTCTTAATATTAGAGCAGTTTAGGCAAATGGAAGAAATGAAATGAATGAGTTAAACAGAACATGTCCAAGAGCAGTTCGAGAAGAAAAAGTATTATAATGAAATGTGCAAAGTCCTAGCATGAGAAAACCTAAGAATGGAGACCACTGTGAGCACATCTGTAACTGAAAGAACTGTGGGGAAATTCAAGCCTGGCATTGCCATACTGAAAGAATCTGTGGCAAAAATATTGAATCATGCAGAGAACAGCAAAAGATGATGGAAAGATG